GTGATTTGGTTGAGAGGCAGGCCATATAGGTCGCACAGGTCGAGCAAGGCCGGGCAGATGGGGAAACGGAGGCCTAGGTCGAAATGGGCGCGGAAGAAAGTGTAATAGCCCTCAGGAGGGTTATCGAAGGTATCATCATCATCAAGAGTGCGAGCGGCCCCATGATGGCCAATTGCATCAAAGTCGAGACGGGAAGCGCTCGTAGACGATTTAGAGGGTTTGGACCATTTGGATGGCTTAGGATGAGGGGAGTGAGAGGGCATAGTCGAAGAAACGGGAACGCGAGCAGACAGCGGGACATGGTATTGAGGATCATCCTCGTCTTCAATCTCGTCATCCTGACCGATAGCTCGACGAGCATGCTCGGTGGGAGGAGAAGAAGGGCGATTGGTGACCTCATCTTCAGGCTGGTCGACAAGATAGGTAGAGGGAGAGACGGCGGTGGCAGTAGGGCTATCGCTGGCCGTTACAGGGGGAAGAACGGAGATGGGCTCAGGTTGAAGAATCTCTTGTACAGAATCGCTCGATAAGCTGAGGGTCGCAGAAGAGGAATGGGGAGTTAGGTCCTTCCCGCTGTGCCGGTCATTCTCACTCGAAGTAGCAGAATCTGAGATAAAAAGAAGAAAAACTATAATTAATCGAAGGAAGGAACAAAGCAGAGAAGAAGGCGGAGAAGGGCGAAGGAGGGCACAGCGGGAAGGACGAACAATGGACGGAGCCAGAATCGAGAAGAGGTTCGAGAAAAAGAGGAAGAACCCAAAAATTAAAAGTTGACAAACACAAATTAAAAGTCAAAGAAGACTTACTCATGGTGGGCGATGGAGAATCTGCTGAGAAGATGAAGGATTCAAGATTGCTGGACGCTCGACAATTGCAGAAAGCTTTAGTGCGATAGAGTACGGTGGTGGAGAAAAGGGAAAAATTCACCCAAGTATGGGTATTTATAGGGGCAAAGAGTGAGTGGGAGGAATTGTAGACCGTAGGATCAGGAGTAATGAAAGGCCACGATCAGAGAGTAGACGAGAGGACGCTCACCTCAAACCGTAGAAGTAAAGTAGAAAATCCAACGGTATGAAGAAAAGAAGCGCATAAAGGGGTGTGAGGCTCGAGGCAGTGTGGGCCACGAGGTTATCATTATCTCTGAGCAGCTAAAAAGACGCGTCCCAAAAGGGGCGGGCAAATGACGAAATTCGAAATTCAAAAAACACAAAGTGGCAAACAGGAGAGGAAGCAAGTGTACAAAAGAAGCAAATGGGTCGGTGGTCGAAAACAAAGCAACAGAACCTCCTCGACATAGACCGAAGCCTACTCTTAGATCGAGTCGTTCAGACTCGACCAGAGTGGGGGGACTAGATGATATGGGATACTATATACTGGACCGGTTCGCAGGGCTAATCAGAGAAAGATAGGCCGGTTCGTCGGACTACCTAAGTAAGA